CCCCCCCCCCCCCCCTCCCTGGAAGCCCGAGCAGGGGACAACAACAACAACAACAACAATGCCTGGAGTGCCACGGTCTCTCAGGGTGCCGGGGAAGGTGAAACGCACCGGAAACCCCTTGGCCCTTCGCTGTGCCGCAGCCCCGTGGGCCCGAGCCAACCGTGCGTGCGAGCGCGAGCGCCGGGCGAAGTCGCCCCTCTCCGCGGGTCGGATCGCGGTCGAGTCGAGACATGCACACGCGCGCGCGCACCCGAAGTCGCCCAGCATGTGCCGGCAACACGCCAGGACATGAGGGACCGGATCCGGGCGCATTCGGGCCGGGCCCCATGCGCGCCGTGGCCAGCCGGCGTGCCGTGGCGCGGCGTCTGTTTATATGGGCCGGCGTCGGGGCAGGGGCCGGGGGGGATCGGCGCCACATCCGGGGGGGGGGGGCAAATTACCCCACACCCACAAGCGCCCATGGCCACATACACACACACACACACGGACACACCCAGACGCATGCACGAGCGCCCAGGAGCACCCCCCCCCCCCCCTGCGGCGCCTGGAGCCGGCAGGAAGTGGGCGAGGGCCGGCCCAGCCGAGGGGAGGTCCGCGTGAATGTTTGCGCCGGCGCGCCCGAACACTCGAGCGTGCATGCACACACACACGTATGCACGCACGCGCACCCGGAGACCACCCCTCGGGCGGAGGCGGTGTTGGCCCGGCACGGCATACGGCGACACACCTGCTTACAATGCAAATTCACACGTACGTGCACTCGCGCACACCGCACAGCCATGGGTCTCACCAGAGCAGGGGCCGAGCCGCCGCCAGGGGAGGGACACCCTCGGGCGCCCTGGCAAAACCGTGGGTTGGGCACCCCCGGCCGACGGACCATACGTGGGGAGGGCCCGAGGCCCGAGGAGCCAGCCTCCCGACGCCCTCGGCCGGGGCTCTCGGCCGGCTCGGCAACGCAGCAGACGCAGCACACGCAGCAGGCACCAATGAGGAGAGACATGCATAATGGACGCACCCCCCCCCCCCCCCGCAGCTCATGGTTAAGACAAGGCCGCGCCGCAGCCGCGAACGCGATTTCACCGCCGCCCGCCCCCTCCCCCCCCCCCCCCGCAGCTCATGGTTAAGACAAGGCCGCGCCGCAGCCGCGAACGCGATTTCACCGCCGCCCGCCCCCTCCCCCCCCCCCGGCGATGGCCCTCGCGGCTGGGGATCGGCGGAGGGGATGACGCTTGGACGCCCCCGAATGCTCCGTGCCCCGCGCCGCGCCCCTCACCCGCCCACGCCAAAGGGAGCCTGTCAGGGGGCTGTGCGCGCGCACACATCCACCCCCCCCCCCCCCCCC